CATCATTACCGTGTTTCAATTCACCATAAATTCCCAATAGAGAATTTATCCCCTAAGTCAGCCGAGAGTTAACAATTGATCCTATTCATTCTATCGTGGCTAATGCTTTGTCAATTGCCGTGAAATAACTTCTCACTTCAATGGATCCGATGAACAATGCATAATTATCGGAAATTACAAACGTTTATCTCCCACGAGGATTTTATACAATCATGATCTTTGCTCAGTCAATCATACTGTGTCACGAGGGAGCATAACGCCTCTGATGATTTACAATAAAAAATAAATCCCACGATTCAGTGCGTTATCGATTTGCTATTCTATTTTTCAATGATTAATCAATGCTGCATTAAAGTAATCGACCACGTGCTGCTGTTCGAGTTATGGAAAGGGATCCCAGAAGAAAGTCAATCTAATGGCGCGTAAAAATTTTATCATTCCGATTACTAGTGGAATTTTTATCGTTAAAATCGATTGTAATGAGGACATTATAGGCGATTTTCGTAATAAAAAAGAAGAAGAAGAGGGAATCGTTTTGAATGACACTCTACGGTTTAAAATGTCATGAATGGTTGAGATTGTTTTAACTGTGAAATCATGTGATTACCAATTATGCATTAGAAGGGATGAAGAATTGAATTCTGAATGTTTTTTTTTGTTGAGTAGAAATTAATTAGTGGTATAAACTAATTTAATTCTATATGTTAGGATTCGAACTGTATATAATGATATAATGATTTTAACATCGACAGATCAAGGAAAACGATATCTCGAGGCAGCCGGCAAATGTCGAGACATGAGATTTATTTCATCACGCTTCAGTGGTAATATAAGAATGGTAATAAAGAAAAGTGGCAATCTAGCATATTGAATATTCCGAGCAGCTAATCAAACTAGAGTACCCGAAACACTCTCTCAAGTTATAGCCTACAGATCCGGACTGGAACGAGTTTCATCTAGCTTCTCTAAATCTCCGATCCTTATGATAGACTTCAATCTCACCGAAATAATCTTGCAAATTTCATTATTATATTATCAATGCAAAAAAAATACGCAATCAACAAAATTTTGTATTTAATTGCATCGGGTTATTACCGCGTTTTTCTACTAGTCGTTTTGTTATTTTTTCTTTAGGTGGTGTAATCCACTGAAAAATAACGGCAAAATATAATTCCGTATTTTTTAACTCTGGCCACTTTTCCCACGTTTACTACATCTGTGAAACTATCAAATTAAAAGACTGAGAATATTTTTTTTACACCCGATCTCTAGAAAAGGGGTCTTTTGATATTGGCGGTTGGATAATCTCCGGAGGAGTTCCTGTATAGAAACACAGATGAATATTACACGAATTATCTTGAATGATCTCTGAAGATTGTTATTGAATAAGAAATATCAAGAGTAACTCTCTCCACAACACAGATTCCTCTAGAAACAATTTTTTAAAATGAATTCTTGAAATCCTTATCACATTGAAAATAATTGTCTTCTATAGATCACATCCAAAATAACCCCTCAACTAACATCACCACCTGAATTTCCTTTGAAATCAGGCATTACCAAATAATCAATTCACTCGATAATTCGCGCCGAATAATCGATATCCCCGAGGCAATAGATTCCATCAATGCACAGTGAGTAAAGTCATGTGTATCCCAAGGAATTCCAGTTAATAAAATCTCAACAATTCCATTTTATTCCAACACCATTGGAATAAAATCATTGAAAATAGGTGGGTGGAGCGTAGAGTGTAGTTTATCCACCGAAATCCCCGAATTATTCCCCACAAAGTGTCATCGAGTGTTGAAACCATTCACAAACTCTGAAAGTGTCAAACTTACTGAAACTCTGACCAAGTGAAACAGAAATCAACTATCACCCGCTATTTCCCTCATCACGACAATTTTCGACGATCGCGCACTTACTTGTCACATCATGTTGTCCAACTAAATATAACCTGCGGTACAACACATTGCATTAACTCAAATAATCCCAAGTAGTACAACCAATAATGGATAATGGTAATGATGGTCTTATTGTGGTCAACAATGTGTGACCCAATGAGAGAATATGCTCATTGATGATAAAATAGAGTGTGAAATAAGGAATAATATTGGATTGCCTCAATAGAGGTGCAATAGAGTACTGGCTCTCCCCATTTTCATTGGACGGGGTGTCACCCCTAGCTCAGACGACCGATGACTGCATCCATTGCGCCGGCGTTCCGATCCTGCGCAACCATCATCCCAGCACAAACTCCACTGATACATCTAATGGATGCTGAGAAACCATCCAATGGATCTTCCTACTCATCTCGGCCATCAGAATCCAAAGAATCATACTAACAATAGCAATTGTTAATCCCTTGGGCTTTTTTTTTCAGTCTCAATCCAGTACTCAATTCAGTAGTCACTCTCGTCTAGTCATAATGTGCAGTTCTTCTTCATTAATCTTTTGGCTAAGCATCTGTCGTCTTCCTCCTTTCTTTCTTCAATTTCTTATATTTCTCGGAATGAGGAAGAGGAATTTCATTGGTTTTCCAGGTGATGCAGGACAGCGGTTGACTCAACATGTAGCTCGTGGTAATCCAATTTTTTTTTCGCCATGAAAATTGCCGTTTGGGTAATTTTCTTGTTCTTTCGAAATTCTCATGGTACTTGTGGATGGATTGTTCGAGAAGAACATTTTCCGGGATTACAATTAATATTTTTTGGAATTTGTCTTTGTTAAGTTAGTTAATCTTTGGGTTACGGAAATATATATGAGTTTGGACGAGTATTTACTGCATGAGTAGATTTCTCTAGGTGGAATTGGGTGTTATGTTAAGTGGATAAATTTCTCGACCTACATCGGTTGAGTACAGGATTTTCGAAATGCTTTGAACCGACATTTTCTTCTCTTTGTCCCAGGAATAGTAATCCCAATTTAGTCATGAAAACAATTTTCTATAATTAGACGAGTTTAGTGTTTTATCGCGGATGTACTCATTCCACGAATAATTAGCAGAGGATTTTTATTTGATTCATTATTAAAATAAAATTCTACTATTAATCCTATCAAAGACAGCGATTGTTTTTTCAGATCTATTCAAAGAAGAAGTAGTGGAATGGTTTGAGCCGGTGTGGAATCCTGTTTATTAATCATTTATCCGAGTAATGAGCTTTGTGGGAAGCACTGCGAGAGACTTCCTCTAAAGGGAATCACAGGCCCTACAAGAAAAGTCGCACGACATTTTTCCATAAAACCAGTAATTCTTTGAATGACGGCCTAATTAGCTTTCTTTCATAGCGCATTAAAATGCAGCCGAGGGCGTCATGGAAGGAGTAAAGCGGTTGCGCCCTAATTTTTCAAAGTAGAAGGATGAAATATATACACAAAAAATGTGCACTTAAAGTAGCAGATACGAAACTCAGATTTCAAAGATTAAAATCTGGAAATATTTGTAGACTCCAGTTAATAAGGATAGGAAAATACTGATTAACTTTCTCACATGAAAAAAATATATATCCAGAAATATATGTCAATTATATCTGAATATGTCGCACGAATTTCGGGAAAAAATGCATTATTTTTCAAAATCCCACATTTTATTTCAAGAACCAACAAAAATTACACCAGACAATCTATCGTCATTTCCGGTTATTTTGAGCGCTCACTGGTCATTAGCTAGTGAAAGGGAATTTTTTATGAATCCTTGATAGGAAATACATCTATATATATACCCATGTATGTATATGAATGCCTTAAAAAAAATCATCAGTCGTACAAAAATATTTTTAGGGGTACATATTGATGAAAAATATGTGTAACGCCATCAAACAGGGAAAATAAAAAAAGTGTGTCGTTTTGTTTGAATTTGTTAGAAACCGCGCTTTTATGATTTAATCACGAGTGAAGGTGCGAAAATCCAGGAAACATGATTGATTATGTGGCGTAAATTATGTAAGGATAAAAAATGGGATTGTTGAGAAATCTGAAGTCAATAACAATCGACTGATCTTTCCACTGTATCACTCTGACTTTAAATCACATGAAATCATTTGAAACCAGTAATCATTGTACCTGACACCGAAAACCTCATCGACCCTCGACTCTTAAAAAGAATGATATTTTTTTTGTCATATGAGTTTTCTACGTTGCCCATTCCCAAAAGCTATAAAATGCGTTCAGAAATTGAAACCCTAATTTCAATTCCAGCTGAACCTTGAAATGAGAAGAGAAAAACAAATAAACGGGATTCTGTATTCTGGTGAATGGTTGAAGCCATTTTCAGACAAATCTAAGACCATGAGGTTTGACACCTCACGAGCTGACCTGGAACGCCCCATATACATTTCTTACATATGCGTAAGAATTGAAAAATCATTGATTTACTTTTCGCTTTCACTCCAGCATTCATTTCCATCCACTTAATTTCATAAAATCGATCCTACATCAACCATTTGCTAGTTCATCACATTAATTTGATCCTCATTGCATGTACCAATTCCTCCACGAAATCAATCAACGAGAGAAATCAGTGAATGATTCGGGTCGACATAACATGTGGTTTATTGCTCAATCGTCCCAGTAATAAATCATGTTGAAGAGAATTATCAGTTATTAATCTATTTTCAAAAGGAAAATCTCTCCGCAACGAAAATGCGCTTCAGTGCGTTCACGAAATCAAGAAAAATGTCGTCTTGAAATTGAAAGGCTCTCGTTAAATTGTTAGGCTGGGCGTTATTGAAGACATTAAAAATATTGTTATGACAAATACGAAGGAGAATATGATTAGTATATAAACTTATGATATGGTGTACGCTTACCCCTAACGTAGGATTCACTTCGGGCACACTCAATCCAAGATTACTCAATTGGTTTAAACACTGCTGCATACAATCCGGAACACTTTCTCCATATTTAGAGTATAATTTTTGTTCTTCTTCTTCTCCCCTCAATACATTATTGGTGCTGTTATTGGTTGTGTAACCTTGGTCTGAACTAGCGCTGGACTCTGACCGCGACTGATCAGAATTGTAACAGGGATTCCGGGGTTTTTTAATCATTCCCACTGGTTCCCAGATTTCACTCGTTGAAGACACATAATAATTGCTTTCGTGTGTCTCTCTACTCCGCTCATCAATTACTTTATTGTTACGAGAGACTGTGACTTCTTCTTTAGTTACAATACTGGATTTTGTACTTAGTGATGTTTCCAATCGCACTGGAGCCCTTTTAAAAACATGGGAATTGGATGTAGAGTTTTCAGATGTATCATTCAAAAATTCCCACCATAACACTTGACTTTTTTTCTTCAAGGATAATAAATAATAAGTTAGATATATTTTATCTTTTGAAATTTAATAAATTTATTGGATTCAATCGATCGATTATACTCCAAATGTGTTCCACTCGTTCAAGATGATGGTAATCTCACAATAATTTCTTACTAATGACACTATAATTCATGATTCACAATAATTGGGTCGAATTATAGTCAATTAATGTCATTAATGACTGAAATACGGGATTGTTTAAAATACAATGAAAATATGAAAAGTTTAAAAAATCTGGAATTAGGATTGGAACATTAAAAATTGAAGTGATGATTGAGTGATAGTGAAATTGGTGCCATCGCTTTGTAATAAATTTCCAATTTTTTTTTTTCTATTCTACCTGAGAATTCCAGCCCTGATAAGAATTTGATTAAGTAGATCACACGATGGTATTTGGCCCGTGAGTATCGCCTCTTTTATAGCAACACTGTCATTGCCCTCAAGCTTAATAGGTACCCCATTAATCAATAATACTTCCTCCTCGCATATCGAGGATTTTTTTTCACAGTCAATAACCTTTACCCCAGGCCCAAGGATAGACTCCACTGTCGACTGAATCTCCTGATCATCCATATCTACACACATTCAACAAAAGTATACCATTCATTAATGTTGATAAATCATTAAACTTGTTGTCATGAATATAAATAGTGTTGATCAATAATTCAAAGAGCATTCGATATTTCTGAGAATAGTTGAAATGGAAAAACTACTGCTATTGATAGACAACTCGAGCGGTTTACGAATTGCGTTCATTTCTCTGAATGTTGGGGTCCAGTTCTTTATATGGTGAGGTTTCCTAACGGATCAGGTCGAGTGCCCTCGACAATTGCTCTCTCAAAGTAACCAGAATGAATACTTTTCAGAATATTTTGGATATTCTCGAGGCTCTAGACGAAAGTCTCGCTATTGGATCTAATGAATGTACTGTCTCTGTTTTTTTCAAATTATATTTCGAGGGATATACTAGTTACACTGTTAAAAACGTCGATAGAATTTTCTGGCAATTTGCGGACAATCAAGTTGCATCAAACGGTTTGAAAATTATTTACAGGATATTTCGTTGCGGTAGCAACAAATTGCATTGGTATGCCAGTCCCACCGGTATTTTAATTGAAAACAATATAATTTAATGACAGGCATGTGCGCATTAATGAGCAGAATTGATTATCGTAATCACTTCACGTATGGAAATGGAAAGAATGAGTTTTCTGGAGATTATTTCTCTAGGATTATTCGTTTCTTTGAGGATTGTTGTATTAAGGATTATAGCGGTTCAAACTCTAGTGGATGAAGTCTTTTAGTCAAAGATTTCTGAAATTTATGACTGGACGGAAGATGTTCTCCATATTTGTTATATAAAGCTAGGAGTGCGGAACGTTTGACAGGCAAATCTACAACTGTCAAACAAATCCCATTCGTTGAAACTCTTCGAAAGTTTTCGTATTTTTTCTCAAATACTCGAAACTTCACGATGGGGAATGATATAATAGATAAATCCTCACATCCTAACGACACGTGACGTGCTATGAAAAAATAGAAAATAGAATAATCCGGAGAGGAGGTGTAAAGAGAAAATATAAAGTTCTAGTGGACATCATCATATAAATTCTACGATTTGTTGTTCCGTAAAAATTAACCGCCCGTTTGAGTCGCCGCTGTAGAAATAAGTCGTTCTGTAATTTTATTGCAACGATTTAGAAATCTTACAGAACATAAAGTAAAAATAACTGACAAGCTCCATAAAAATTTTTGAAGGTTTCGGAATTTTTGAATTTTGAGGGCATATTGAATGGTGAAATTTCCGTACGATTTTATTTCATCGGGAAAAATTATAATTATAATTATAATTATCGGTGATAATTTCGTACTCTCTTTAGTGATAAACCTGAGTATTCACGAATCATATTTCTTTCCTGTCGTTCCTATAAAAATCACCGGAAAACCCACTGCTGATTACGTAAATTATTCCACAATTATTACTGAATATTTCCCTCTGTTTGCAAAGATGTATTCGATACGTAAGAAACTTGAAATCGCATGGATAGAAAATGGTGATCTGTGGGTGGCCCGTTGAAAAATAAATAAATAATGTCCTCTAAGCTAAAAAAGTTCTCAAGGGTATGTATCTACATTTAGCAAAATTATTGTTCCCATCACTAAGAATTATAATGAAATTTCTATTTTTCTTTTAAGGCTCGGGTGGATTATCTAGAAAAGATAATTTACTCCGAAATTCGAATTCCTAATTACTCTGGCAATAAATCGTTTTTTTTTAGTAATTGTTAGCTAGCGTTCTAGCGGTTGTCAACAACTAGGCTAGCTAATAATTATTGGAAAAAACGATTAATTGACGGAGTAATTAGAAGTCCCAATTTTGGAGTAAATTATCTTTTCCAGACAGTCCATCCGGGCCTTAATATACATTTAACCAACTTTTCTGGTGACGATGTGGAATTGGTTGCAATCATAATTCCCACAAAATCATCATCGTAAAATGATGATATAAAAGGCTTAAGCGCCATTTTCCTCGACAATATTTTACAGTAGCAAATAGACCTATAGGTCCCAATAATAAATATTAAAAGAAACATATGTTCGGCGTTCGTGGCTCTATATTTCTCTGTTTGTGGTTGAATTTCCAATTTCTACCTAGCGTAAGTAATCAGAGACGAGTACAACTCGTATACATACGTCTCTGTTATCAGTTACTGAAAGACTTGATAATGACAAAGGGGTGTAACTCCCATACACGAATCTATTCTTTTCTTTGTTAGTCATTATTATTGTTTCGGAGCTTGCAATGGAGGTAATACTACTTTATTCTATTGAAACTGTTACTTCCTTCTTCAAACGAGAAAAAAGAAAAGTGAAAAGATAGGTTTGTTAACTTTTTGAGAATAGTTCTTATCTCATTCAAGTACTCTTCTAGTAACTCCTGATTAATCACGCATAGATTGAAATTTCAAAAAGGATAATACATAAAAAAATTACAACTTCGGTATTCTCTCCGGAGAAGAATAATTAACGAATAGTACTTCTGCCCACGTATGAGCTATTCCCATTCAATTCAATCTGAGGATTCAACACAAAGCTTCTCATGGGATGACGTTATCGGAAAATATTGGACAAGTCTACTTTTTTTATCGGCTGATAGGACATTTCAGCGATCATTTCCATGCAGTGTTTTAATTACTTTTTACCCCCCAATTCAATTTATCTATGGAACTCAAATTCAATTCGATACTTGGTATCCCTTTTGAAAAAAAGCATATGCATATCGTACTATATATATATAAATACATAAAATATAATATATCATTGTAATAAAATAATGATTTGTCTAGAATAAAAAAAAATATTGTATTTATCAATTGAATTCAATTAAAGAAAAAAAGATAAAAATTGGTAATCAACCGAAGAAATTAATTAGAAACTGATATTTGATATTTATTCATAAATGGTACTGGTACTTTGAATTCCATAAAAAACTCAAAATAGACTGTGGAAAAATTCATTTTATCTGACGTTTTTTATTAATATCTATCCAAACATCAATCATTTGAGGAACGTGAATAATAGAAAAACGGCATGAGTGGGACGTACATTCTTTTGATTTGAGCTGGGGGAAATTTATCAACTAGTTTCTATAACCATTAATGTGAAAGAGACGCAAGATTATATTTTCCAATTGATATCAGAAGGGCACACTGAAAGATGAACCTCTGTCCCGCTAGGGAATGGTGTATTTATCTTGTTTAGGATATCATTTTATTACCAGGCATTTAATTAAAAGTTGAATAACAAAATTCAAACTCATCAATATGAAAAGAGGTATTTGGGTCTTGAGTGTGACAGCAATAATGCCATGGGGTTTCCAAATTGAGTAATACAGTATTCTTATAAATCAATTAATGAAAATCAATTAATGGGTAAAAATTTACTTTGGGCGGATTTTGTGTGTTAATCAATAAGATAATTTTGGAAATGCTTGTATAATTGGAGAACTACCAGGGGTAGACGAATATGATATATTATTTCGATTTCAGTTAAATCCAATACACATATTACACTCTGACACCGATTGAGTGACCGGGCAAAATCAAAGTCCAAATAACCTTCGGCAGAAATAATTATTTAAAATAATTCTCCTCAGGATGACCCCGAGACTGTGAACGCGTTCGAATAAAATTTATCACACTGTGTGTAAACTGACATTTTATAAATTTCTTTGCAAATTTTTAAAAACAATTTTCAGCAATCTCGAAATTTTCCTAGTTGCAGAAAATTCAGTCTTTCTTTCCTGGAATAGGAATTTATTTTTAACAGTGAACCTCGAAAAACCTCGCCTATCTCATGTTTTCATTCCATTCAACACCTCCAGTTGAAAATTCTCAAACAAAGCATGGAAACAACTATGCTTGTAATTATTTACAGAATCTGTGCCCGCCAGAAAGTCTGAAGCAAAGAATTACCCTGTACACCTAGTTTTACAGAGAAAAATCTTCTACATCCGTGCACAAAGCCCCTTGTTTTAATTTGGTGCAGAATACTAATGAAAAGAAATGGATGGCACATTCATGAGTACAACTACTTTGTGCATTGTACAGAGTACGCGAATAATGAAAACACACGAAACGCGAAAAAAATACTTCGTAACAAGGCACTATCTTACGACTTGACTAAAATCATGCGTTCGTAGTGTCTGGTACGTAATAGCACGGACTAAAATGTACGAAATCTAAAAAAAAAAAACAATGTCCCCCGTTCCTACTAAAATGTCTATCTCTATTTTTCAAGTGCTAAGGAGTTATTGCAACAATCTTTTTCTTGTTTATTTTTTTTTATTTCTGGGAAATCATGGATCACATTGACGTGAAAAAATATACCGTTTGTGAGTTTTATAATTATTTAATGACTCTAAAATTTTTATAGTCGGCCGTCTATTTTGATGATGAAAGTTCATGAATTGTAAATACGTTTTTGAAACTATCGATTAATTTCATTTATCAATTTCAAGACAATTTTTTTTTTTAATTCACGAATTTTTTTGCTCAGCATACCAATCGTTTTTCAGAAATTGGTACAAAAATAAACATGAAAAATGAAAAGATATCGATAATAACTTCTTAATTCAGTGACTGCTTGTACGTGAGATATAAAATTCATTGGAGAGTAAAAATTCGTTCATGAGTAAAACACAAGAATTTAAATAACAGTCCTTGACATAAAATATACATGATTCCACAATTTGCGATGATATAAACCTTATTGTCAAGAACAGAGCAGCAATTCTGAAGGTGGTTTCATTGTCACGTACATCCAACAAATGACTTGTGCACAAATCTGATTCAATTCTCGTGGGATTCCAGTTTATATTATGCACTTCCCCACTCTGAATCTATTGAATGCAACAAACGTGTCGTACATAATCTAATACTACGAATTACCGTGCAACTAACCCCAACAAAATATTTCATGATAAACTCATAAAATTACAGTTAACTCCACCAAAGTCACTATTTTCAATGGACAAATAAATGTTATCATAAAACTCACCTTATGTTGTCGTTGTATCTAACAATAATATCGCATTCTCATCCCCTCCAGACTATCGATCGATAATGGTGATAAACCAATAATTCATCAATGCATTAAAAGAACAGCCATTTCTTCTACCACAAAGCGAAAATGTTGGAACTGAAATCCGTGTATTCAGGTGTAGACTACCACTTTCTCAAAATCTACAATTTGCCGTACACGATTTCTCCCCAATTCTCATTTTCACTTTTACTTGAAGCTGAAATGCACCAATACCCTTTACTTATTACATAGATTTCTAACTGCATCACCATTCCCCATACACCTGTCTACTCCAATTAATAAACAGATCCCCTGACAAAACGTAAATATTATATCTCCAATAATCCACCACTTCTATTTAATACGAAAGTGATTTTTTTACGAAGGCGTACCACATAGCCACATGTTGATGTATACCTGAGTCCCTGAGTTCCAAGTGAGAGATTTGACTATAGATATTGAGATCATTGGATATACTAGTGTAGATAGTCACAAGTTAAATATTTAATCACCAATTGTTGACAGGGGTTTATTATCAGTTGTATGCACCTTGGTACTGGTGATAATGTACGTGAAAGGTGGAAAAAAAAATGGTTGCTCCAAAAACAGTGAGGTAAAAAGAGGATAAATATAGTAGATCTTTACAAGGCAAGCGCTCGAGGCCAACTGGCGACTCGGCGACTGACAGTCCTGAAGTCGTGATCCACAGGCGCAACTGCTGCCACCGCCATCATCATGACTACAACTAAAAAAATCGAAAACCGAGAGCTCCAGTCGCCCCAGTACACCAGACAACATCGATATGTCCCTCCTGTTACTCATCTACTGTATTTTCGCCCCACGGAAAACAACGCCAACCACCCATAAGACCCTAACATCCCATTTACTTTGTTTACCCCAAATTTCCCAAAATATTCCACCCACCACCACCCCCACCCCCTTTTGAATTTTTTCAACCTAATACATTTAACAGTGTGGGCTTTGTTATTATCGCATTATGTAATATCGCACCCCAGATTGTTACTATTGAGTTGTCTTTCGTTTAATTTTCAGTGCCAACTTTCGGAAATTCGATATTTAGTCATTGAACATTCAGAAATTCGAGGGGAAATTGTAATTGTGAATTTGGAGGACAGTAATGGTGGAGATAATTTAGGGGTGAAGAATTCACGGAATTTTGGATTTTATTAGAAGTTCAATACAATTTGGTGGTGATTATTGAGGGATTCTCCATTTCTCCATTTATCCTTAGAATTTTGTAATTTTATGGAATTCTCGGTGAAACCTCGAATTTATTTATTTTTTTTTAATGCTGGAAAGAGGGGAAATTCACCGCCCCTCTTTTACAGGGATGCAAGTGAATTGCACTGTTCGATATTATGGAAAATAGAGTAATAGTTAATTTAGTGAATATACAGAAGAAAACATGTTTTCCTCGAAGTTTTTCTCTTTAAGAAAATTTTATTCTGCACATTATCCTCGCTCCATCTGCTTGATCAACCCTTTGATGTTTTTGAAGTATAAATCATATGCAAGATGCTATCTTCCGCCTTTCCGAATTTCTGAATGATGAACATAATTCACATAACAATTTAGCAACAGAATTCCATCGGCTATTTGGACAGTGAGTTTCTAAAAGAGTTCACAGAAGACGGGAAATTTATATAGCATTCCACACCTTATGGCGTCACAAGAAATCATTGACTAGGATTTTTGGATTAGGTAGGAAGACAACCAGGATAATTCTCAATATAACTTTACAATAAAAATTTACTGAAAAAATGGATTTACTTCTCGTAGGCGAGTCTCGCTTGATAGACGCAAAAGAGATGGCGAATGAACGGAGAAGACTTAGCGCTCCAGTTATTGATTTTTGGTAGCACAATGAACATGGGATTATTCAGAGGCGAGTGAACGAGACACAACTTAGAAAAAAAAATATTTATGATTCTCAGACGCATCCAGATTGATACTCCATATTTCATGAGCAAATAAGAGTTCCAGTGCTTTTTATTCATGATAACAATCAAGTGATCTGAAAGGTAAAAGATAATCTTCATCGTGTATTATAAACGGGGAAATTTTCACATGGGAAATTTAATTATGGATTACGCGATAAAATTAATTTGTCAGATTCAATTACTCATTGTTCTCCATGTAGTGTGATTATCTTTGGTCGATAAGGCAGATGCTAGATACCTGTCTAGTATTCCCAGGATTATTTGTTCAAACTTGGTGAAAAGATAATCCAAACTCGAGTGCTATGATTTTTTCACTTGATCAAATATTGGTACCTCCTGGAGAAAATCAGCAGAAGGCAACGCAAATGATTTTGTAGTCTGAATTTCTTTTATTTCGATCTAAATTTGTAATCCTTCTCTACCACTCGAAATCCAGCGATTTCGTTCGCAGATGGTCTTACCTGAAGATTTGTACATATTGTGTAGAAAATGGGATTTCGTAAAGAAATCAAATGCATGGCGGTGCCTGCTCTAGAAAATTACTATTCCAATCTTCCAGCTTTCTCATTTGATATAAGAATTCGGAATCCCGAGAGATACATTCAAATTCTCCACAAGTCCTATTGTTTTTTATGACGTAGTATGTGAATAGCATTTTCTGATAGATGTGGGGAAAGTGTTGCTTAGCTGATTAGCTGGGAGATTTATAGGATACGTCAGAGGTGAAAAAGGATTTTCGCACATGTCTAGAATATTTTATTGTATGACGTCTAGACTTTTCGGACGGAGCGCAATAAATTATGTAATCAGCCAGCATTGTATGAATATTAGTCGACGCAAGTATTTATACAAGGCCATAAATTTTCTGGTTAGTGTTGGAGATATTGGCTGATCTCGACTTTGCTTGTTATATTTGAGACGAGGATAAACCTCCTCGATTATTCAATGCGGTCACAATAGGGCTGATTCATCATTTTAATATGATGCCTTTACGACTATTATACACTGAGAAAGAAAAAGTGCCGGTCAAGTATTTACGCGATTGATCGTCATTCACTCATTTTATTCCTTCATTCAAGTCCGAAATGACTCGAGCCAACAACGTCCCCTTGATGAAAGTACACTTGAATATCCTCTTCGTATTTCATCTGCATTTACTTATTGCTTCAAGTATACGCAAGACTAATTAAGGTGTACGTTCACTTGTCAATAGAATTTTCGAAGAATAAATGAACTTTTAGTGCCTTAAATTGGCAATTTCAGGAAAAGATGGTTGAAGAGTCAAGTCAAGACTTTGTTGTCAGCAAAAACAAGTTCGTTGTAAATTGCATAAAAAGCATACGCGTTGAATCAACGCTTTTTTAATCTCTTAAAAATAATTTAAGGAATAAGAAAAATAATAATATTACCTCAACTTCTGGAGATTGTGCGATGCGCGATGTTCTTGGAGGTTTCTCAGGTGGTATTTTCTTGAAAGTTCCCGGTGACACAGATTCACTGAGCATTTTTGATGAAATGATGCTGGAAGGGAGTGTCTGTGATCCCGCGGATGAAATGACCATGTTATCAGATAGCATAGTGGGTGCTGTCACCACTGGTGGAGTCTGATATGTGGCGGGATATGACAATGAGATCCGTGGCCCTTCAGTTTTTTCGTATTTCAAAACGTCTGACAATGCTATCTGGGGATTTCGCTCTGATTCTGCATTGTCAGAGATACGCGGTGATAGTTTGTTAGACGACGTTGAGTGAGATGTGTAAGTCTGAAAATTAATGGATGGTAGGTATGGGCTGGATGGTAATTGCTGGTGTTTTGTCTCGTTTTCCGGTAGCGATGAGAATAAGTGCTCTGGAAGAGTTGTTAGAACTTTCTTTTGTTGAAAATCAGTGGCATGTCGCAGAGTTTTCTCGGTTGCTTGTCGCTCTTGTAGACACTGGAGACGAGTGTGAAGATCACTCTGCATGTGTTGAAACTGAGCTACTTGATCCAAAATTTTATTTTGATTCTGTAAACACTGTAGACGCTGCTGAAGATCGTTCTGCTGGCGTTCAAATTGACTTAATTTTTCCGATATAATATCCAAACTTTGTTGATTCTGTTGGAATTTGTGCTGATGTTGTTGATGCTGTTGATGTTGATTTGCACTTTTGTCCTCGCTTTGGCACTCCATCGAAACCATCTGTAGATTTTCAATATGACTCTTACTATGTGTCAATAAATTCGTACTGACGTTATGAGCCTTTTTATGACCGTGAATTATATGGTCAGTCTGTTTGAACGTTTTACCGCTGTTATCAAAATCAGTGACAATCGTCAAGCCCATTTTGGCATCGAATGTTGCGTCACTCAGTGCCGGAAATTGATGACAGATATTGGGACTATTGCGTTGAGACGATGCTGTATTGACAACCGGAATGAGATTGGTAACAGATCCGGTGGTGGATTGATCGTCGAATTCTTTTCGTGTGAGTTCCATTTGTTTAGTGAGGTCAGCGCTCACATGACGAAGATGACGACGCTGTTCCATTATCGTATTTGGACTGATGTTAGGTATCGGTTGAAAAGCTGTTTGTAGAGCACGATGATCTCGTAGGCGATGCTCCTCCCCGACATACGAAGCCCTTAAATCCCGTTGGTATTCCGGTTTATTTTTGGGTTTAGGACTGGTGGAGAACATTTGTCCTTGGTACATCTGTTTTTCAATGTCCTGACGTTGACGTTGCTCAGCCCAATTTGCCAATTCCTGTTTGGTCTTTTCAAAATTCTGAGCAGATATAAGAGGTGTCTTTTGATTGATGCGATCATTTAGGGAGTCTCGAATAGCCATGAACGACATTGGTGAGCTTCTAATGTCATCCGAGTGTTTAGTATCAGTGATCATTGGTGAACTTCTTCGATCGTCGAAGTGCTCTGATCGTCTGTTATCATGGGAAATGATAGATCTAGTATTTGGACTGATACCAGCCCAATCAGGCTTTTGTTCGGTTGCAGTCTGTACGTAACTGGTGTCCTGTTGCAGATCAGCACCTATCGGTGAAACCCTAATGATCGGTTCGGTTCTTCTTTGATGATCCGCACACAATTGATTGTCAGCCCATGCTTTGTCTCCAGACGTTATCGATTTCTTCATCTCCTGCGAGTGCTTAATTTCTCCCGGGAATGTGAACGTAATAGTGTCATTACGCTTTTGGAAGCTCGTTGATACATCTACCGACATTGATTTACGGTGTTCAGAGCAGGTGACGTAAAGATCGCACTCAGGCATACTTGAATCTATTGGTTTATTTTTAGTTATTTGATTAGTGCTCGTATCGACGTAGAGTCCGTCCTGTCGAGTTCGCGGGGTTTGGTTGAGGGGTGTGGCAAAGGCCCTCTCTGTCCCAGATGTTGGATTAGTGATACTAGAACTTGCCACTGGTGTTTCATCCTTACTCTCGTTCCCCTTTTGATTCGTAATCTCACATTTAATCATCAAATTTTCCAATTTACCACCTGTTATATCAGTGCTGGCCGATTTACGATGACCCGCATCGTGAGTTATTTTGGAATTTCCACGTGGTGGAACCATTGGTTTCGGTCCACGCGCTGATGCTGCTCTCTCACTTCCCCCAATGATATTTTGCGAAATAGGCTGAATGATCGGTTGACCTTGATACTGTGTCATATCTACGGGAAATCTTTGTTGATTCGGCAATAATG